AAACCGGCGCTTGTTTCAATTGCCACGAAACAGGGCACTTCGCGAAACATTGCCCGAAAGAAAAGGTGGCCTTTTTATCTATAAATGAAGCCGACGAGAACATGAAGTTGTTAGAGCCCTATATGTACGACCTTACCGTGAACGGCAAGCAGTGTCGGGTTCTTAGAGACTCCGCAGCCACTATGGACGTAGTTCATCCGTCTTTTGTTCAGTCCGGACAGTATTCAGGAGACTGTGCCTGGATTAGACAAGCCGTAGAAGCAAACAGTCAGTGCCTCCCCGTAGCTAAAGTTGTCCTTAAAGGCGCATTTGGTACGTTGGAAACGGAAGCCGCGGTATCGCCATATCTACCCCCTCAGTATCCTTACTTATTTTCAAATAAGTCAGATCAAATGCTGAAGGAGAAAGGTCTAACGTTGGGAGAAGGCATAGTGCAGGCACTGACTAGATCGAAGGCACGTGCGCTGGCTGCGAGAGCAACATTCACTGAGGCAAACAAGCCTCAAATCGACAACGGGCCTGGTTGCGAGTTGGACCACCACGGTAACAAATCGACTTGTGCGAGAACAGGCTGCAGAAGCCGTAGTCGCGGAGGCAACCATTCCTAAAGGCGACGTTGAACCTCCTCCCGAATTGGAAGGGGTCAATTACGCCTCGTTGACCGAGCAAATAGAAAATGCCGTTGCTCCCAAGCCGATTCCTGGTAGTACAGAGGATAGCACAGAGGGTGACACATTCCAGGTACTAGGAAATACAAAAAGAGTTGTGTGTCATGCCAACTTCGGATAATTCAGTCGGCTGCTGCAGTGTGAGTCCCGCTTCATTAATAACCGAACAAAGGGGGACCCGACACTTAAGCAATTCCAGGACAGTTCGAAAGAGGGAATCGCCAAACGAAATGTGAGATTCCAAGAGAGGAGCGGCATACTCTATCGAAAATATCTAGATAGGCGAGGAGTAGAGTTTGACCAGGTAGTCGTTACCTCAGGCGTATCGTCAGGATTTGCTTAGTTTGGTGCATGGAGAATCATGGTCAGGCCACTTAGGCGTAAAGAAGACGAAAAATCGTCTTTTACAGGAATACTACTGGCCTGGATGCTTTAAAGATGTAGAGAGGTTTGTAAAATCTTGCGATGTGTGTCAGCGAGTGGGTAAGCCGGGAGATAAGGCGAAATTTACAATGAAGCTGGTACCCGTAATCACTGAGCCCTTTCGTCGGTTGGTAATTGACACAGTAGGTCCTTTGCCCAAGACAACTTCAGGCTACCGTCACATCCTGACCTTAATCTGCCCAGCTACTAAATTCCAGAGGCGGTCCCGCTAAAAGAGCTAAGTTCCGTGGAGTAGTGAACGCACTTCTGTCCGTGTTTGCCCGGGTAGGCTTTCCTGCCGAGATACAATCAGACCAGGGCACCATTTTCACGAGTGCCTTAACGACAACCTTTCTAGAGCGGTGTGGCGTGAAATTATTGCATAGTTCCGTCTACCATCCGCAGTCTAACTCGATAGAAAAGCTTCACTCCGTGATGAAGCGAGTGTTAAGAGCCTTATGTTTTGAACGAAAAACTGACTGGGAAATGTGCTTACCTGCAACGATGTTTGCACTAAGAACTGCACCACATGAGACAACAGGGTTTACGCCAGCGGAACTTGTTTACGGCCGCAGACTGCGGTCTCCTCTTCGTATGCTGAGAGAGTCGTGGTAAGGTCAGGGTGATGATCCTGTAGTAGTGGAATATGTCCTCACCTTATTGGATCGTTTAACAAAAGCCCAAGAACTGACCGGGAGTGCGATGACCAAAGCACAGCAGAAGGCTAAGCTTTACTACGATCGGACAGCTAAAGCGCGACACTTTGCTGTAGGAGACAGGGTCATGTTGTTTAGGCCCTCCCAAAAGAATAAGCTTGAAGTGCAGTGGGTCGGCCCGGCCGGGATTACTCGAAAATTGTCTGACACCAACTATGTGGTAAAATTACCAGGAAGTCGTAAGGCACACCAGGTGTATCATAGCAACTTACTCAAACCCTACAAAGAGAGGGAAGCCATCGTGAACATGACTTTAAATGTTCCGGAAGAGGTTCCGGCAGAAATCCCTGAATTAGCTCCCGAATCGGACGAAGTCCCGATCGAGAAAAGAGTTGAGGATTTAGTATCAAAGTCACAACTAACAACGAAGCAGAAGCAGGAATTGCGTGGTCTTTCGACCGAGTTTCAGGACAGATTTGTAAGCGAGCCAGGCCGGACATCCGTCCTCACTCATGACATAGAGCTTACCTCGTCGGAACCGGTAAGATCTAAGACGTATCGGGTGTCACCTCGCCGGCTTGAGCTAATAAAAGCAGAGGTTAACAGGATGCGGGAATTGGGTGTGATTGAGCCGTGTGAAAGTGATTACACTTCCCCGTTAATTTTCGTGGAGGTACCCGGCAAAGATCCGCGTCGTTGCGTAGACTATCGTAAGTTAAACCTCATCACCAAGGATCAGACATACCCAATTCCCCACATTGAGGAACGCGTCGAGAGGGTAAGCAGCGCGCAATTTATCTCAACGCTAGACCTAGTGAGAGGTTACTGGCAGGTGCCGCTCACCGAGAGGGCGAGCCGGTATGCTGCATTTATTTCACCATTGGGGACATTCCGCCCTAAAGTGTTGAGTTTCGGCCTAAAGAACGCGCCTTACTGTTTTTCCAACTTAATGGATAAGGTTTTGCGTGGTCAAGAGGACTTCGCATTGCCTTACTTGGACGACGTCGCCGTGTTTTCCTCGTCCTGGCCAGAACACTTGACGCATTTGAGAGCAGTACTGACACGCCTACGCGAAGCAGGTTTAACGGTAAAGGCGCCCAAGTGTCAGCTAGCACAAGCAGAGGTACTCTATCTCGGGCACGTTATCGGTCGAGGGCATCGCCGTCCCTCTGAAATGAAAGTGGCAGCTATCCGAGACTTTCCCCAGCCCTGAACGAAAACCGATATTCGGGCTTTTCTTGGAATAGCTGGTTACTATCGTAAGTACATCCCTAGATATTCCGACATTGCCAGCACTCTTACTGACGCGTTGCGCAAGACCGAGCCCCAAATGGTCGACTGGGATGAGGAGAAAGAAAAGGCTTTCCGCGTTTTGAAAGCGGCCTTGTCGAGCCAACCTTTGCTTAGTTCACCGGACTACTCGAGGCCTTTCATAGTCCAATGCGGCGCTAGTGATAGAGGCATGGGGGCAGTTCTTAGTGAAAGGGATGAGGGGGATCAAGAGCATCCCGTCCTCTATCCCAAAACCCCCACGCCCCACAAGAGAGGGAACGCAGAAAAAGTCTGTCAAGCGAACCATCGAAGACACGGCATCTAAGCTCGCCAATAAGCCTCCTCCCAAGCGATCCTACCATCGCAAGAAGTCGCAAGTGCCATCCAAATCTAAGGAAAAGGACATTGAGGAGTTTGAACCGGGGCCGTCCACGTCCTCAGCAGCCAGCAAAAAGCCCTCCCTGCCTCCGGATGCCTTTAGGCTGAAGAAGCCGAAGAAGGGCTTCGCTACTGCAAAGCAGCGTCTGGGCAAGATCCTCAAGATCCACAAGATGATCTACTGAGAAGGAGACAGGCGTCGCGTGTGTGTGTGTGCTTGCGTGTCCATATTTCTTGCGCGTGTCATCTACAGCAGATGTGAGCAGCTTCACGCTTTTTTTTTTTTTTTTTTTTTTTTTTTTTTTTTCCATTTCAGAACTGTTCTCATTTGTACATATTGCTCGTTTCAACCATTACCTCATTGTCTCCTCATGCCCCAATGTCGGACGCGATCACCTCTCACTCTTCCCTACACCTCTTCTAATCTGTATTTTACTTCGCGGTGCATAGCCCTCTGGGCTTCATGGTGTAAAGCACATGCATTTCATAAGGCACATTACGCAGTTCATAGAGTATTTACATAGATGCGCTATATTATATTCATAAATGTATACATAATGTGCGTATATTAAACACATATATAGATATATGTATATCATATATATATATTTCTCTAAAATGTCGTCGTTTCGTCAAATTTTTTAGAGTTTTCATCACGAGAGGCCCATTCAAAATGAGAAGCGTGACCTGTTCAAAGTGACTCGCGAGAGGTCAGGTAATGTTGCGTGGCACGCTTTCGAGTGTCGTGATAAAGGTGATGCGTCGGCTTTGCATGCACCATGTTTTTAATCAGCGGTGGTTGTCCTGTATGCGTTTTTTGGGACAAAAGGTACGCACACTTGACGTATTGGAATGCGAAGTGTTTTGTTTGATTGCGTGTAGCAGTGGAGAGAGTGGTTGCAGTCATGTTCCGTGTATTCTGGAGCTTGTAACTGCTTTATAGTGCAGCGTGATTGGAAAAAATTTTCTTGCTATTACCTTCCCTTTTTTCGTAGAATTCGACAACTACAGTATTATTTTGAATTGTTTTAATTATGGGCACTGAGGCATTTTTTGGGAACACAGACGAAAAACATCACTCGTTTCGAACGAGGCTTAGTTGAAATCGCAGTCGCGGCTGCGAAAATAAAGTTTCCTTGAAATTAAGGTTTTTCGTTGCGAGTATTCGTCCTCTGGCAATGCATTTTGCCATTGCATATGTCGACCTATAACTGGGTGGAGAAATTTGAAACGTTCGTCTCCAAGTGGTGTACAATTTGTGATGGCATTCTTATTCTTTCTCCAAATTGAGCGATTTGGCAACTGTATCACCAACTACTGGCGTAAGAATTATTAAGAGTTGGCATTATGTGCCAACTCTGAATAACCCTATTTGAGCATTCCCACACATGGTGGCGGTGCCACCTTTTTGCTGCCACTAATCATTGGAAGTACTATTGCTTTCTTGGCGAGTCTAGCTGTATTATAGAGTCATTTCATTGCTTGGAATATTTCATGGGAAGGGAATAAAAGAAAAAGGTACAAAGTAATGGTACCAGCGGCTTTGCCAAGAATGCCTTCTGTTTATTTCAAACCTTTTTTTTTTTTGGTGTTTTGAGTGCAATCCTTGGAACTGGGACAAGACGCAGCTCCTGCTAATATTCGCCCTTTCTTTCTCACACCTCTCTTGTTTGGGCTGATCACAATCATTAGCGTCTTTGTGTTAGTCGGTAATCCGTAATAATGAAAATCCAACTACAAAATGCCGTCCTATTGTCTTGCCATCTTGGACTTCTCTTTTGATGCAGACTGATCACCAGCTTAGTCATTAACGAAACTCTGAAATTGCATGACTAAGTATAATAACGTACGACCGTCTCAATAGATTTTGCTTTGTTATATGGACACTAAGTGCTTATTGTCGTGCTGTCACATCGGCAACACGTGCAACACTGCTTAACAGGGTTATGTTTGATTACCAATTTATGCAACATTGTGTATTAGCAGACACATCATCACACTCAGCTTTGCTGAAGCCAGCGCAGAAATATTATTTTTGCGGCCAACGCTATAACATTCTTGATAAATAGCTGTGAACATTCATACCATTGAAGCTGCGGTCTAAGCAGTTTGGGTGTACACAGCTTAAACAGTACAGATATTAAAACACCCTAGTGAAATTTTTACAAAATTGTGTTCACACGACCAAAAATTGCTCCATCATACCACTGTTGCAGTGTTGTCTTTTGTTAAGGTATGTCATTTGTTTCATCACAGGCGTTTTATAAAAGTCACGTGTAGGAAAAAATCGAGCCTCGAATAATGCCATCAGCTTCTCATTATTTTATGGGATGCTGTCAAGAAAACACAGTGTCATGGTGCCATAGTGGAGTGTTCAAGTGATAGCCGCATAAATTATGCTCAGTCATTTCACCAATGTGAATGGCTTTCTGTCGGTCTGGCTCATCTAGTGCATCATAGAGGTACTACACCCATAATTCTGGCAGCAGCATTTTTTTCCGCGCTAACACTGTGACACGCATGTTGTGTATTTGTCATGCGGCTTTTTATTCTGCAAAGCAGCTGTTGTCACACCTGTGTCGTAATGCGTCACATCAACGTATTGGTAAAACCTATTGTGAGCAGCTTAAGGGCTATACTAAGTATTGCTTTTACTTTCAAAGTTCCACATTTGGACAGAACTGGCCTATTTTTTTTATTGCGCTTCATAACAGCGTTTATCGTAAGCGTGACAGTGTCCTTCTTGCAATATGTTGTTTGAATATTTGTGGCATTTTTTACATTTCCACTTGTACTTTCGTGGGTGCATTTGTTAGCCGCAAACTCACCCTTCGCGAGCAGGTTTACAGCGCTAGCGAAAAGGAATGTGCGTGCTTGGTTTGGGCAGTCCAGAAACTAGCTTGTTATATTGCCGGAAGCAAGTTCATTGTGGAAGTGGACCACTGTCCTCTCACCTGGCTACAGACCATGTCCTCTAAGAACGGCCGCCTGCTGCGTTGGAGCCTCGTTTTGCAACAATATACGTTTGAAATACGCTACAAAAAGGGTGTACTCCATGGCAACGCTGATGGCTTAAGTCGATGCCCCTGACGCGAGAGGATGTCTCGAGAACTCTGGCATTTTTTTTCCTGACCTTGGCAAGAGCTAGTGATTGTTTTTTTTTTACTCTTTTAGGTGTACTTGTTTGAAAACGTTGAAGACACGGCTATCCAGGGTTTCGGATTCGGTGTGCTTCCAGTGTTGTTGTTTTGTGTCACCTTAAAGTGTGAGTAACATTTTGAACAAATTGTGTATTTCCTTTAATATCAGTTAAAGAAGAAAATTGCCTGGTGGAGTTTGGCGGAATTGTCCGGCGCTCACCGGCTGAGTAGTTGTGTTTTCATGTGCGTATGTGATGTCTGTTGAGCCCTCAATGGAGCAGGTGTTGCCCTCTACTTCATCAAAGACGGTCGTCACCAAACCGACTGCCGGCGCTGATCTCTCCGGACAGTGACTGCAAACCTCAGCCCATCGAGATCTTCACCCCCCCGCGCGAGAGACTGTTACGACCGGCCCTGGGGAGCCAAGCAGGGAGAGTTTCGGGGAGAACCGGTTCTTGACCTGACGGTGTCGTCCACCCCCACCTCCCCATTCGGGTTCCTCCTCGCCGGGAGAGCTCCGGGGTGTGCTGTGCGTTCGTGACCATGTTTGGTAACATTTTAGGGCGCCGTGACCATATATGGACCTCGTGTTGGGATGTGCCACTCCATGTGTTGTGAGGTGTGTTTCCCCCTCTCTCGTGGCCGAGGGGCCGGAGACACCACATTGGCTGACGATGCGGACGGGGCGCCCAGTGTCAACGGCGCGGCGCTATAAAATGCCGAAGACGTTTTGTATCACACGCACTCTTCTCTCTTTGGGTCAGTTGACCACTTCTCCACATGTAAATAAATCTCTGCTGTTCGTTCGGGCGCTTCTTTCTCGCTGAATTGTTGGACGATGGATCCTGCGACGGGGCCAGCTACCGAAAACGAGACCGGCAGGACCCGGAGTCCCAACAACTTCCCCCAAACTCTCCCTGCGTGGCTCCCCAGGGCCGGTCGTAACAGCGTCGTCGACCACCTCTTGAGGAGGGAAACTAATCAGTGCAGTTCCGGAGGCAAGAACTGCAACTTGTGCGCAATTCCCAAGGCCTCCATTTTCGCCACAAAATGTTGTTGATGTCGATGTTGAGGGAGTCGCCACATTAGCGTTAATTGATACCGGGGCCGCCGTTTCTGTGATGAACGCAAACTTTTGTAGGAAACTGAAGAAAGTGACCACATCTCTCAGTGGCTTGGTGCTGTCCACGGCTAGCGCGCAACGCATTCATCCCTCGGCTGTGTGTACGGCGCGCGTCGTCATCCGAGACGTTTTGTACGTCGTACAGTTTTTTGTTCTACCATCTTGCTCTCATGACCTTATCCTGGGTTGGGATTTCTTATCACGTCATGAAGCTATCATCGATTGTTCCCGTGCCGAAGTGTCCCTTGTGCCAACATGTGAATTTCCACCACCCGACCGCTCTCCTCTGCTCTGCAAAGTCATCGCTGATGACGAAATCACCTTGCCTCCTGAAGCTTCGGTCCCTATTAGCCTTTCATGTCTGGCGCAACCTGACGGCACGGTGATGTTTACGCCATCTCCGGTTTTTACTGAACGCAAGGGCATCGTTCTCCCATTTGCTGTTCTTACAATTGCGTCTGGTTTAACCGTAATGCTGGTCACCAACCACTGCAACTACCCCATTGGCTTACTTCGTGGTGAAACGTTAGGATATGTGCAACCTGTCGACCATATCGATGATATTATTCTTCCCGACGAAACGCCATGTCACATTGCTGCAATCACTCATGCATCTGAGCCATCAAGTTCGTCAGCCTTCGACAATGCTATTGACGCAGACCTTCCCCTCTCGCATCGCCGCAAACTTGTTGCTCTCCTTAACAAGTTTCGTTCTTTTTTCGACTTTCAAGAACCTGCTTTGGGCCGCACCACCACTATCACTCATACTATTGACACCGGCTCACATTCGCCTCTGCGACAGCGTCCTTACCGCGTTTCCGCCGAAGAGCGCCGCGTCATTACGGAGCAAGTAGATGACATGCTTAAACGTGGAGTCATACAGCCTTCTCAAAGCGCTTGGTCATCACCTGTGGTTCTGGTT